CTCCCTGCTATGCATCAACCATAATTATCCAAGAAAGGCCGTACACTGCTGACATCACTCTACTGTTGCTTTCTCCACCAGACTTACCCTAGAGGGGTATGGCCACAGGTTGGAGTGCCAGTAAGCCAGTGTGGTAGAAAAAAAAAATTTACAGATGTCATCAGTGTGCAGCCTTTCTTGGACTATTGCACTAAAATAATTGCACATTAAAAAAGCTTCAAAACAAAATGCCATTGAACTGAAAAGATAGTATTTATGCCATATTCCCCAATACTGTTGGTGCAAATGATCAAGAAATCCTACATTAAAAAAAAAAAAAGAGAAAAATGTAATTCACTTAAATATAAAACCATAGTATAGATGGGCAATGTTTTTACAGTGGGAAGTAATTTAAACTAACCTATTTGCCTCTTGAGGTGTGTGATATTGTGCAATGTGTACATGTATGGGCTTTTTTTCCCATGCTTTTGGTCCTTTCCTGCTTTTTTATATATGTTGTTTTATGCGTAACCCTTACAGGTAGTGTCAAAACTGTGTGTGGGATGGAACAAGCAAGCTCTGTAGCTACGTGAAAGTTTTTAGTGAAGAAGTTTGGATGATTCTTATCACAAAAGATAAACATTAAAATGTCAGTGTCACTATTATTTTAGTTTTTAATTCACAGGTCTGTGCTATTTTACATTCATAGATGTAGCACACTTGTCAATCCTACTGTTTTACACCAACCTTGTGTTCAAAGCAAAAGGAACAAAGAAATGGGCTTGAATTGTGAACTATCACCTGTTTAAATAGCAGAATGACATGTAGTGTGATTCGTGTCAGGAGTTTCAAAGCAGAGACAGTGATGTAGAGTCCTCAAAATCCCTGAACCATGAGAAATGGTTACAAAGTGCTATTCCTTCCAGGCTAGGTCACCTGCTGCTTTTAGTTTATTGAGAAAAGCATTCTGCAAGAAAAAGTGTAACATACACTATACAGCAGCACCACTGCCGTAATCTCAAGGATGTTAAATGCAATGCCAAGCTGTGGTTTCTAAAGCAAGCAAAATCCTCTTGTATTAGGAGGTATAGACTCCAGAGAGAGCGAGAGAGATAATTTTACCCCTGTACAAATCATTAGTAAGACCTCATCTGGAATATGCAGTTCAGTTTTGGGCACCAATTCACAAAAAAGAACATTGGTTGCCCTTCTCTGTACTTTCTTCAGTTCCCCAAACTGATAAGTGGCATGGAGGAGCTCAGCTATGAGGAAAGATTAGAGGAACTGAATTTATACTCTTGAGAAGAGGAGATTAAGGGGGGGGGGGGATATGATCAACATGTATAAATACATCAGTGGTTTATATAGTGAACTCTGTGTAGAGCTATTCACCCTGAGGCTATCACAGAGGACAAGGGGGCACCCTTTACGTCTGGAGGAAAAGAAATTTAATCTCCAAACACAGGTTCTTCACAGTGAGAGCTGTGAAAATGTGGATGTCCCGCAAGAGTTGGTTCTGGACAGCTCAGTGGATTGCTTTAAAAAAAAGGCCTGGATTCTTTCTTGGATACACAGACTATAGCTGGATACTCACATTTATAGGCAAAGTTGATCCAGGGAATATCCGATTGGGCTCTCGGGGGATCAGGAAGGATTTTTTTTTTCCCCCTGCAGGGGCAAATTGGATCATGCTTTGCCTTCCTCTGGATCAACTGTAGGATTATACCGTATTTGCCGGCGTATAAGACGACTTTTTACCCCTTAAAAATCTTCTCAAAGTCGGGGTCGTCTTATACGCCGGTATACGGCATACTGACACTTTTTTAGGGGGGGCGGCGCGTTGCCGCCACGCCGCGCCCCCCCCCCTTCCCCCAATGGAAGGGACACTAAGTACAGGGGTGGGCAGCGGCTGTTTCTTACCTGGTTCCGGTCCCACGACGAATCCGGTCCAGGAAGCGCGGCTGCGCCTTCAGTTCGGCCACTGGATGTTCGTGCGGCTGCTCGGCTCCGCCTCCTCACCAGTGATTGGCCGCCAGAACTGTAGCTCAGGAAAGGCACACAGGCGGCCAATCACAACCGGCGAGGGGGTGGAGCCGAGCGGCCCCGCGAAAATCGAGTGCAGGACCAGCAGGTAAGTGGTCAGTGTAGAGGTGCTGCTGCAACCACATATGCTGGCTGCAGCAGCACCATACGAGAACAGGGTCAGCAAGTGTCACTGGGAGGAATAGTGCCCCATCATTGGTGTCACTGATACCAATGATGGAGCACTACTCTTTCCTCCCACTGATACCAATGATGGGGCACTATTCCTCCCCCCCACTGACACCAACGATGGGGCACTATTCCTCCCCCCACTGACTGACACCAACGATGGGGCACTATCCCCCCCCCCCCACTGACACCAACGATGGGGCACTATCCCCCCCCCACTGACACCAACGATGGGGCACTATTCCTCCCCCCCCACTGACACCAACGATGGGGCACTATTCCTCCCCCCCACTGACACCAACGATGGGGCACTATTCTCCCCCCCACTGACACCAACGATGGGGCACTATTCCTCCCCCCACTGACACCAACGATGGGCACTATTCCTCCCCCCCACTGACACCAACGATGGGGCACTATTCCCTCCCCCCACTGACACCAACGATGGGGCACTATTCCTCCCCCCCCACTGACATCAACGATGGGGCACTATCCCCCCCCCCCACTGACACCAATGTTGGGACACCATTCCTCCACTGATACTAATGATGGGGCACAATTCCCGCCACTGATACCAATGATGGGGCACTATTCCCCCACTAATGCCAATGATGGGGCACTATTCCCCCCACTAATGCCAATGATGGGGCACTATTCCCGCCATGATACCAATGATGGGCACTATTCCCGCCACTGATACCAATGATGGGGCACTATTCCCGCCACTGATACCAATGATGGGGCACTATTCCTGCCACTGATACCAATGATGGGGCATTATTCCTGCCACTGGTGTGCATTGGAAGAGGGGTAGTCTTATACGGCGAGTATAGCTCAAACACTAAATTTTAGCAGGAAAAGTAGGGGGTCGTCTTATACGCCCAGTCGTCTTATACGCCGGCAAATACGGTAACTTTTTTTTTAATAGTTGAACTGGATGGACTTTTGTCTTTTTTTTCAGCCAGACTATGTAACTGGAATAGCCTGCATCAGTTTTCCCTTATGGACCTGGGTACTCTTAAGACAACTCATCCTGTTCCCAATATCTTCACTTCTGCAACCTGTTCTGTGTTTACCCCCTCCCAAACATTTTTCGCAGTTGAAGAGGTATTCCTTTAAAAAGTGGGCCCTGTAGCTGATCTAGCCATTTCCTGTCCTAACAAGATCTTTGGTGGACATCCTGGTGTTTTAGGATCCTATGGGTAAAAGGGTAGAAACCCTTTCAAGGCCCTATCCTCCTGAGATGGCCCTGCCTTACAACCTGCCATTGTGGCCATGTCCATCAGCTCGATCCTGGGCACCTGGTCCGAGGACATATCTCGAGGATTTTGGATCTATCCTAGAGGATCCTTCAATACTCCAACACTTGCAGCTCATGCCTGTAGCCTTACATTACTGTGTTGATGGGTAGGTGGATATTATACTCCTGATTTCCAGAGTGGGTCTCCTATCTGTGCACATCCAGAGGACTCTGACTGATATGTTGGTCTGTGGAGCATCAGTGCAAAAAACAATTATTGCATATGCCCTCTGATGGAAAACAACACTTTGGATAATGAAAATTAAGCTAAGAATCAATTTTGGAAACCCTCTAATTTGGATGCTAAGAAAATGTTTTCTTCTGTTTTTTTCTCAGGCCGCCAATGTCAAGCATGGGATTCTGTTGCACCACATGTCAACTCACAAATCCTCAAAACCTGTGAACAAGTTGTCCTAACAATGCATGTACACCCACTTATTGGGGTATCTTTTGGCCAGCTTTGCCCAAACAAACTATTTAAAGTGTCAGAAAACACGGAAAACAGTGACGGAAAACAAAGATTTAACTAGGACATTGTTCTCCTGTCCTGTCCTGCTGCTGAATTTTTTTTCTCCAATATCTAGATGTGGCATATCTGGTCTGTGTTTTTCTTGACTACAAGTTCCTTTAGGCAAACTGACTCTACTTTTGTCACTCCTAAGGGTCCCCTAAGTCTGCATCTTTTTCCATCATTTCTAGGTGGATTTATCAGCTCATCATTTAAGCCTATGAGTCTAAAAGCCTAAGGAGTAACTCCACTTTTGTTGAGGAAAAAAACAAAACAAAGCCCTTCTGATGATCAATGTACATTGCAGGGATTTTACCAAACTGTAGCAAAGACCTACCTTTTGTTGGTATGAAGAAACGGCTCTTTGTTTCACCAGACTGATTGCATACTCATTTGGAATCGGAGTGACCGGATTATTACTAATCAGCTGATGCATTTTATGTGTTCTAATGAGCAAACAGCTGTGTTTTCCAGTGCCCAGTCTCTTGAAGGCAGCAGCTTGACCCAGTGTCTCAGAGTTATTTCCCTGTGCCCTTTTTAATGTTTTTTTTGTTTTTTTTTTTTTTAAATGTGTACCTCATCTTGTTTTGGTAATAACATTTATACAGAAAGGAAGAGTCGGTACTGTCAGCCAGTGAGACTTTACTGCTTCAGTCTGTAATTGACTAATAAATTACACTGGAGTAGAGAGATTAGAGATGACCTAAACACAGTACAGTGGTTCTTTCATTATCCAGTCCAAAGCAGTATTGCTTTGTCTGCATTATAATATATTATGTTTGTTTTTAAAGAAAATACATTTTTTTCATTTAGAGTCACTTTAATTTTAACTGTTGTGCAGGAGATTATAAAAAAACATGTTCTTAAAAAAAATGTAATAAAATGAGACATTCTGTATGCACAAACTATTTGCAGTTGCATGGATTTTGTGGGGTTTTTTGTTATCAAATGTTTTATTTTAATTTTTTTTTATCCTTTTTAGGTCAAGAGCGGTTTGGAAATATGACCAGAGTATACTACAAAGAGGCTGTGGGTGCCTTTATAGTGTTTGATGTTACCAGAGTATCAACTTTTGAAGCCATAACGAAGTGGAAATCTGACCTGGATAGCAAAGTTTATCTTCCAAGCGGTGGACCCATACCTGCCATTCTTCTCGCCAACAAGTGTGATCAAAAGAAGGAGAACAGTATGCCAAGCTCTTCCCAGCTTGATCATTTCTGTAAAGAAAATGGTTTTGTTGCATGGTTTGAAACGTCTGCAAAGGTAACATTACAAATCAGTAAACAATTTGCATATTCTTAGAAGGCAACTCCAGTCATTTTTTATGTTTTAAATAGGTTTTTCTAATCCTTTCCCGTACTCAGGTTTTTAAAGTTTTTTCTGTGACCATCCTACGGAGATGGCCAGTATTATTGGGACAGGAAGTGATGGTAATCAGGAATGGATAATCTTTAATAGGGATACTGCTATAAAAATGTTTCTAGTTTTGGGGAGTAGAGTGTAAGAGTATTTCAAAATATTATTGCTATGTTTCTCTTTTTTCAAAGATTTCCATTTGTCTTTTCCCAGAGCCCAGTACAGATAGAAGAAACCTGATCAACGGGCATGCCAAGAATAAGTCTGTTCTAACCTTTCCTTAATTTAAAACCGAAAGTGGTACAAAAGTCCCTGTACTTGAATTTCCTATAACAGTCTGACTTCCCTCCTTCTACCCAGATTCTTTCAAAATGCCGGGTTGTCTTCATTGGCTGGCATGTGATGACAGTATGCACAGGAGTTCAGTCTTCCTGGTACACACACATGTTTGTGCCAGAATATAAACTCAGCAGCGCTTGCAGGTGGGTTTATTTTATTGCAGAAATGACATTGTATGTCAACTGTAATAAAGAGCTTGCCTGCTCGTAGTCTTTTGGGATTTAAGTGTCGTGGGCTGAACGTAAAAACACAGACAAGTTCCAAACAACTGAGGCGTATATTGGAACCCCCCCTACTGGAACATTGTATTCTGACAGTAGGAACTGCCAATGTCAGTGTGCACTGATTAGTAGCTGCAATCGCTGATTGAGAGAGGTTTCAGCAAGTCCCTTTTTGACTTAGGTCATTCAAATACTTAATTTCTGTTGAGTAGGGATGACAACACACTGAAATTCGACTGGTCCATGTGAACTGGACCAATTTCCCTAAATACTTAGCTGTATCTTACCTGCCCTGTATTGATCCAGTGCTGTTCCTGACTGCAGCAACATTGGTTCTCCTTTTCTCACAGGCACAGAGACAGCAACAGGAGCCATTGCCTTTACAATCCTTTTTAAAGTATAAGTCCACCTTTTTGTAACACGTTATGCCCATATTCATGTTACACCCATATGTAACCGTGTTATTCATTCACAGAGTTCTGTGATTAAGAAACCTACAAGTACCTTTTGTGGCTGTCGGTTTTGTAGTTCTCAATGAACTACTATAGAGAGAGGAAGGGATATAATACACAAAGTGCCAACATCCCTAACGAATACAGGGGGGGAAAAGTCCTCTTTTTTTTGGTGGGACTTTAAAGGCACAATTTACTTGTATGATAAACTTCAACAATTCAAAAGAGATTTTTTATAAAAACAGTATGAAATTTTATTTTTACAATCTTCAAAAATAAATATAACGCTACAATACATATTGCGGCGGTGTCATCGGAGATTGTATTGCAAATCTAATTATGGATCATGCATGGTTCACATTTAACGCGTTTCGAAATCAACAAAAATCTCTTCTTCAGAAGTACTCAAGAAGGCATGGCATATGATTCCATGTGAGGTAAAAACCGCCAGGAACTATTAAGAACAAATTATTATGTGAACACAGCCATGGATTTCTCATATATCTCAGGCAAAAATGAAATGAAGGAATTTGCATGAGAAAGTTTTGATGACCAGGTCTATCCAAAGAATCATGCTTGATGGCTGTGTTCACATAACAATTTGTTCTTAATATTTCCTGGCGGTTTTTACCTCACATGGAATCATATGCCATGCCTTCTTGAGTACTTCTGAAGAAGAGAGTTTTGTTTCAATGAACTACCATGGTGCTTTTAAGTGATCTGGTAATTCATTGATTCTTCCTGTTGGTGTGAAATTGCCTGCTTGTACAGCTTACACTGACAGTCTGTAGGAGTCCTGTATGGCACCTGCGATTTGCTGATCATGGGTGCAATGCTTTCCAGGCTCTTAGAAAAAAGTAGTAAATGCATATTTCTTGCAAAAAAAAAAAAGTGCATTTATTTTAAATTACCGTATCCTTTTGACTTCAGGTGAAAGGGTTTAGAAAGAAGGCTGCATCGAAGAATATGGTTTTTAAGTGAGGAAGAAATAGGATAGTGAAAAGGAAAGGGATCAGGATAGAGAGGAGGAAAGAAAAGGAGTTGGGTAACCGGTGCACTCCAGTGCTCATCTAGAACCAGGGCGTCTGTATGGTAATTTTTCAATGGCTTACATTGGCAAAGATGTTAGTCAGAAAATAGGGCAGCCTTTACACCGTCACTCTACAAAAAAAAAAATCCAGGAATCCTGGAAGGTTTAAAATTTTATGGAGCCAAAACGTTTTTAAAAGGTTTGGATGGAGTAGGGAAGCGTTAAAAGCCTGGCAGTTTTTTTGTTTTTTGCTATCCTTAGTTTACTGCTGTGTCATTAGGGAGACCTCTCTTCACTTCCTATCCCTTAGACGCAACAGGAAATCTCCCAAAGTGAGGGGAATTCTTACCTTAGACAGTCCCTGGCAAGTGTACCCTTTGGAAGTCTTCCTTTTTGTCTTGGGGACAACTCTAAAATTTTGGATTTCCCCTCACTTTAATAACTTAATAGACAGAAGGACTTAACCCTTCCCCACTCTATCCAAAACTTAAAGGTTTTATAAACAATTTAAAAATAGCACTACCTAAGGTGCTTAGTGAGTATATACAATTTTCAGGTTAGTGGCAGACACAAGTGACCATAAGCAATTTGTGACCAAAAAAAAAAAAACATCTATAGGTCTTGACTTAGAACGGTCAAGTGGAATGCTTTATACATATAGCAGTGGGTGAGTGTCACCCTAGAATGGGAATAAACAAAGTCGTTGCATTTATTTTCAAAAACCTGTGAAATGGGTATGTGTGTTTGATCGCTGATCCACCAAAAGTTCATGGGGCCATGTATCTGCTACTGGGTTTGCTGCTCTAACTGGGATAAAATGGCTAGATAACAGCATAGGCTCCTATCCTGGAGAGAGAAGTCTATGCTATTAGAACAACCAAAAAGTGGAGATTCATATTATTTTTTTTTTTTTTTTTTTTTTTTTTTTTTTTTTTTTTAAAAGCCTGTTCTTTTTAGCCAACTATTCTTTCCTCTAGCAAGTGCTTTCCACATAATGTTTGAGCCTCAGTCATCATTGCTAAAGTAAAGAATGTGTCTAGTTTTGAAGGATGTATCTATATGGATGAACAAGTTTGTCCTTCATTTACCTTATTTACATTGTGAAAATGTCTATATTATATTTGAATTCTGAATATTGGCAGGTTGCTGACAACCACAATGCTCCTAGGTACCACAAGTTTAGCATCACAGAAATGGGCTGAAAAAGATGTAGACCGGTAGGAATGGCGTTTTAGGGAATGTAAACCCTGAACGAGACAATGTGAAAATATTTGTGTACTAATGAAGATTGAAATTTCTACTACTGCAAGATTTACATAGTATAATTGAATTGGTAAACCTGCATTCGTGCTAATGGTTTTTCAAACTGGTGGGTGGATTGTGATTTAAACAGTGGTTTTTAAAAGAATGCAATAACATAATTAAAGCAAAATTTATGAATAGCTGAAATACACACCAAATTCATGTAAGTTAATGAGGCTCTTCAGTAACTTTTTAAAAAAATTAAAGGTGCTGACTTTCAATAGACACTTACCAGTCCAGGAATTCAGCACTGTGCTTCCACTAACGTTATCCAGCACTTCTGGGTATAGGCGGCCAATGGATGGCCGCCAGCACCCGCTGATTGGCGAGGAGAGAGGCAGAGCTTTTTTATGTCTGTAAACAAGTCAGAGCTCTCTTATGTCTATCTAAACAAGTCAGTGCTCTATCCTGTCAGCAGGGATGTGCTGGATTTTGTTTCCCTGCAAAGCAGGGAATAAAAGCCAGCACATCCCTTAGTGAAAGCACCTGAAAGTGCACACAAACACACTGGTTAGGCACACATTTAACACTTTGATCACCCTAGATCTTTAACCCCTTCCCAGCCTGTGTTATTAGTAAAATGTCTGTGGGAAACGGTGACACTAAAAGTGATCATTGCTAAAATATGCACTGATCACTTTTAGTGTCACTGTTTCCCACAAAGTGTCAGATTGTACACTGCAATATTGCAGTCCCGCTATGTCACTAATCACTACCATTACTAGTATAAAAAAATAAATATTCCAGTATATATAAAATAGTTTTAGATGCTAGAACGTCCATGTAAATACACTTATTGGGAGCTTTTTACCAAATAAAGCAGCCAAATACATATTGGCTAAAATTTATGAGGAACTGATGACACTCTGTCTAAATAACCCTGATCAATCAGCAAAAGATCTGTTTGTTAATATGTAAGATATTCAGGGAAGAGTGACAGTGCCTTCTGTTAGCCAACTTGGCAAGTTATACTCATCCAAAAGTGCTCCCCTACCACTTCTTTTCTAGGATTGATCGCTTTCGGTATGGGTGAATATGTGAAATGGGGATCTGACAGTCCCATACACTGTCATGTGGTAAAAAGGTAAACTATGTTCTTAACTTCATTAAGCTCCAACATAGGAGCTTACTCAGGATAGACTCCTGTAATGAAGGAGCATGGACTGGTGAAAATACTTTGCTGGGATGGAGAATTATCAGGGGGACATGGCTCTTAACCATTTGCCTACTGGGCACTTATACCCTCTTCCTGCCGAGGCCAATTTTCAACTTTCAACAATTTTCAACTTTCAGCGCTGTCGCACAGTTGCGCAGTCATGCAACCCTACCCATGGGAAATTTTTATAATTTTTTTCACACAATTAAGAACTTTCTTTTGGTGGTATTTAATCGCCGCTGGGTGTTTTTTTATTTTTTTTCACTATAAACAAACAAAAAAGAGCAAAAAATGTGGAAAAAAAACAGGTAATTTTTCTCCTTCACTGATGTACGTTGATGAGGCTGCACTGATGGGCACTGATGAGGTGGCACGGATAGGCAACACTGATGGGCACTGATGACTGCTCTGATATGCAACAATGATGGGCACGGACTGCCGGTATTGGGCAGCACTGATGGGGGGCACTGGTGGGTGGCACTACTAAGCACTGCTGGGCACTTGTGGGCAACACTGCTGGGCACAGATCATCAGTGCCGATCCTTCCTCTGACATTTGCTGGTTATCTGCAGTACTTTCCTCACACTGTGACAACGTGAGGAAAGTGCAGCCGATAACTGGCAACTGCATATACCGGTGATCTGCTGTGTCACTGGACACAGCTGATCACGTGGTAAAAGGCTGCTGTGATTGGCCGTTTACCACATCATGTGATCAGCTGTGTCCGTAGGACACCGCAATCACGGAGATCGCCAAGCGCGCAGGAGGGAGCGTTCTGGGAGGACATCGTATGACGCCCTCCCAGAACTGGACAACTGCGCTGTAGCCGTAATTTGACTATAGCCCGGTTGTCAAGTGGTTAAAAGGCAGGTGACAGCATCTTTAGGATTGAACTTTGTGGGGTAGAAAATCCTGAGATTAAACTCTACTGTAAAGGGTCAATCCATCCAACTTTACTTTTTGGCTCAGTTTACACCAATGAGTTTTTTTTTTTTTTTTGTTTTTGCAGAAACGCACTACAGTCCATTTAACATGGTTTCCTACTGAACATGTTCACATATGTGCTTTTTTTTTTAACTGCTGCAATTTTGAAAAGGGCCAGGAACTTTTTTAAAAGCAAAAAGCAGCATTTTTTGCTATAATAGAGTTCAATGGAGAAGCTGCTGAAATGCATGGTAGTGCGTTTTTGCCACATTTTGCATTCTTATTCTGCCCAGCAACAAAAAACATTCCACTGTAGCAAAAAAAAAAAAAAAAAAAGAGCTGAATAAAACTCCGTAACAACGCGTGTAAAAAGACGCAAAACAAACTGCAAAAAGCAGTGTAGAAAACATTAAACGCAAAATGCATATATGTGAACCAAGCCCTAGTCATAGGTGGACTCTTCGGGGCTGAGCCTATTGCTCATATCCAATGTTATGTCAGTATATCATAACACGACCTGTTTCATTAGGGTTTCATGCCCTAATTCCTGGCTCTGTTCCTGTCCACGTATAAGAAGCCATAAGGTTCTTAAAGCCTAAACTTGTTAAAAAATAAATAAAGCAAATAAGCACAAGTGATATTATTTGCTTTCAGTGACATGTGTCCCTTGTGCTGCTGTAATTTCATTTAGGAGAAGTCTTTCTCCTCTAATTGCCCCTACCCCAATGCTGTAATGCTCGCCTCACCCCTTCAGTCTCCACCCGAATCACCTGCCTACTGAACGACATATCAGACTGGATGTCACTCTACTTCCTCAAATTAAACCTATCCAAAACTGAGCTCCTAGTCCCCCCCGTCCCCCCCCCCCCCCCCCCAATCTCTCCATCACGGCCAATAACGCCACCATCAGTCCCACCCCGCAAGCCAAAGTTCTAGGCGTCACTCTAGACTCCAATCTATCCTTCCAGCCCCATGTCCAATGTCCAATCGCTGGCAAATTCATGTAGACTTCACCTTTGCAACATCTCCAAAATACATTCCTAACCCCAAACACTACTAAACAACTCATTCACTCCCTTATCTCACGACTCGACTACTGCAACTCCCTCCTCACTGGCTTACCTCATCACAGACTCTCCCCGCTTCAGTCTGTCCTGAACTCAGCGGCCAGACTCCTCCACCTTACCAACCGCTCCGTATCCGCCACCACCCTCTGTCCCTCCACTGGCTTCCGATTGCTCAACGCATAAAATTCAACATTGACGTACAAAGCTATTCATAATACTGCCCCAAACTACCTCACCAACCTGATATCCAAATACCACCCAACACGTACTCTTCGCTCCTCACAAGACCTCATACTCTCCAGTTCCCTGGTCTCCTCCTCCCATGACTCCAGGACTTCTCCAGGTCTTCCCCCATCCTCTGGAACTCACTACCCTAATCCATCAGACTGTCATCTACCCTCCTCACCTTTAGGCGCACCCTGAAAACCCATATCTTCAGGGAAGCCTACCCCGCCCTCACCTAACAGCCGATCTCCACTCCTCCTACCACTCCATCCCCCACAGCCATTTCCTCCTGTACCACTATCCCCTCCCTCCTAGATTGTAAGCTCCAAGGAGCAGGGCCCTCGAACCCCTCGTGTACTGTATTGTTACTGTATTGTCTCATGTACTGTCCCCCACTATAATGTACAGCGCAGAGCAAACTGGCACTATATAAATACTGTATAATAATAATCTTCGATGCAGCATGGGTTTTGAGAACTAAGGAAGCTTTCCCAGGCACTTATCAAGAGTGCCAGTCTATGACCGCTCTTTCCGCCCAGCTCCTCCATGCATAGAAGTTGCCACCTTTTTTTTAAGGTGGCAGTAGACAATAGAAAAGAAAAACCTTAGCAAGCATAGGCATCGTCTGAGTTTTCACCTGTTTTTTTTTTTTTTTTTTTTTTTTTCCCCCATTAGCAAACTTAGAGTGAACCTGTATATTGTTCCTTTACATTAAAGTAAATTATTCACTTAATACCCCCTTCCTACTGATCCCTTTACCTTCAATTCTCCTCCTCTGCACTTGTTTGGCCACTGAAGCTAAAGGAAAGTGCCATGTGTAAGTGATAAGTCTACCTAGTTGGAGCATACGCAATGCTAAGGGCCCTACCTCTACCCTTGTATGATAGCACTCAAACCTACTGATTTGCCACTCAGGCATTCAGCGTTGCATTGTATGAGGGAGACGAGAGAATCTCTTTGAGTTGCCATCAGTACAAGAATAGAAGGGCTTTCTTCCAATGGGGACATTTATTCCCATGACAGGAAGTGAAGAAAAATCTCACGCATGAGCCAAATTACAACAGTTTTAATTTTTCCCTGCTTTATCCAAAATTGTGGAAAGTTTTGCCTTCAGATGCTTTAGAAATACCTGTTTTAACACCAATAATCTGACCATCTAATATGTGTTGACTGTTTTTGACCACTTGTGTTTATTTTCTTTTGACACTCATAATCAACTATATTGCAGGACAATGTTAACATTGATGACGCTTCTCGATGCTTGGTGGAAAATATTCTTCAGAATTGCAAGAATTTCCCTATAGAGGAGAATGATGTCAGCACAGTACAGCTTGAAAAGGAGCCTTTGACAGCGGAAAGTAAATCGCTATGCTGCTAACCCTTAAAATACCATGAGAAGATAAAGACTGCTGCAAAAAGCTGCTTCTACAGATGTCTTTACATCACCTCATGTACAACGTGTGTACGATAACTGAGTTTACAGCGTTGGCCTGCTATTTGTAAAAATAATTTTTCTGTGTTTATATTGTAAATAGCAAACAGTCATGAATAGCAAAATTCATTTACAATGCCTGTCACACATAGGCAGATGATTGTATAACTAGGGATGTCTGTAAAATGCCACACTTATTCTGTCTTTTTTTTTATTTTCATCTTCTTTATATTTTTGTTGAACCATATAACACTGTGTTGCTTTTTCATTGCCATATGTAAAAACATGTATGTTACCCTGTTACATGTTCCATGGGATAGGAGACTATACGCATGCATGTTTGTGCTCTTAATTGTGCTATTACGTTTTGTTTGGTTCTATTAATCTCAAACTCATGGATGGACTAAATTGTACAGTAAGATTTGAAAGCCTTGGTTAAATTTGGAAGCTTGGATCACAAATTTGTATAACGTATCAAACTTTATGTAGAGTCTTGTCACAACACTTTGATCCTGGTCTTTTCACCATTCGCTGCCTTGCAGGACATTTTAGGAAACTGCAGCCATAACACATCACGGAGCATGTGAGAAGTTGAACAAATAAATAAAGTTGTTGTCCGGTTGTGCCTATAACTGAACATGGTGCCTTGTTGGTAGAATTCTGAAAATGTTTGTGCAGTTGTGTCTAATCTATTATTCAGTTTATTTATGCCATGAAAGTATCTTCTTTATGTTCATTTCCCGTTGTGGCTTACTAACAGAACTTCAAGCAGTTACACAATTTTAAAAAATATGCTTCCATTTTCTATGGTCCAAAAATGTGCCAAAATAAATTAAACATTTTCTCTACCTGTCATTCTATTGTCAAGTGTCATGCTTCACATTGCTTATTTGAAAATGTAATGCAAGGTTTCTAATATGTAGCAAAGTTATGTTTTAGGTGGCCCTTATGTTATATGTACAGAATTATAGCACAACTCCAGGCCATGTTCCTCCTTCCTTCCTTGTGGCTGCCACTAACTGTGATTTCAATACTTTTTTTTTTTTTTTTTTTTTTTTGTATGGAATCCTCAGGCTGGTCGTAATGCTGCAGGGTCTTTTTCACCTATGCCCCTTCTCCAGACTGGGGGCAGTCCTTTATGATGTAGAAAGTGGCACTAAATGGTGGCATAGTGATGACCAAATGTCTTCAGTTTATTAGGTTAAGTGAAGCTGTGCATTAATAGACCTGGAATACTAAGAATATCCACTTGTTGACCACAAAGTGTGTGTGTCATAACCCCCGTATCCTTTTTCTTTTTTTTTTTTTTTTTTTTTTATTTCCATTTCAGTCAGCAACCATCTTTCTCTTGAAAAGCGTTCTGCGCTGCTCGTTAGCCACTGGATCACTTTCAGTAATGGCGAGAGGGGACAATCCAACAGTGTGGCATTCTGTTCAGAGGCAATGAGAGACTCGATCGTCTCTGTGGCCTTTGAGGATTGGACCAACGTCATGGCATCACTTCCGGTCCTGTCTTTTTGATCCCAGATCTCTCCTTAAGTTTGGATCCACACTTTTGCAGTGCAGGACACTACGCATTTCTGTGCAAATTACATGCAGTGTTGTGTGGTGCAATTTTTGAGCTATACATTTTGTGTGGCTCAAATCGCATCTGCACCAAAAAAGGTACAGGACCCTTTTTTTTTTTTTTTTTATCTGCACCTGAATCGCATTGCATGGGTGTTCTCACCCATGCGATGCAATTTCTGGCAATCTCATCGCAATCTGTTTCGGCATGTCATTTATCATTGACACCCGCACCAGATTGCATGCAATTGCAATGCGGTGTGGGAAATGCACAGGATTCACAGCGTTTCCCATACCACATTAGTGTGAATCTGGGGTAAAGTAGACCTGTGAATCCTTATTTTTATTAGGGATGTTTACATAATAAATAATAAGGTTTCTAAAATAATAAAGGGACGGTGTTAAAATAAGGAAAAAAAAATGTAAAGTGCCCCCCATCCCTCTGTGCTCGTGCGCAGAAGTGAGCGCATACATAAGTTGTAAATGGTGTATACATGTGTGAGAGCAACAATTCTAGCATTTGGGTTCCTCTGTAACTCTAAACGGGTAACCTGTGGATAAAAAAAAAAATTTTTTAATCTCCACCTTTGGAGATTTTTAAGTACCGTAGTTTGTCGCCACTCCATGAGCGTACACAATTTTAAAGTGTGACGTGTTTAGGTATTTATTTAATTGCTGTAACATCTTTCATATTTTACAAAAAATTTGGTGTGTATATTGTGTTTTTGTTTGTTTTTCAATTCATGAAAATGTATTTTTTCCCCAAAAAAAAAAGCGTTTGAAAAACCGCTGCGCAAATACCATGTGGCATAAAAAATTGCAACGATCGCCATTTCATTCTCTAGGGTCTTTGCTGATATATATATATATATATATATATATATATATATATATATATATTATAATGTATGTTTGGGGGTTATAAGTAATTTGTTTGCAAAAAATCCTGATTTAAAGTCACACTAAAGCTTCGTCATTTTTTTTTTTTTTTTTTTTTAATAAGAAACATGTATGTACTTACCTGCTCCGTTCAGAGGTTTTGCACAAAGCAACCTCAATCCTCTTCTTTTTGGGTCCCCGCCTGCTCCTGCTCCTGGCTCGCCCTGGGGTCACTGCTGCATGCCCATTCCTAAGCTGCTGCTCTATGCATCCATAAAACACATAGAGCCACAGCTCAGCCCTGACACACTGTTGAATGTCGCTGGATCGGAGGGGGTAAGGATTGGGGGTGCTGCTGCACACAGAAGGTTTTTACCTTCATGCATAGAATACATGAAGGTAAAAAACCCTGAACCTTTACAACCGCTTTAAACTTGTAAACAAAAAAATTGGGGAAAATGGACATCTTTTGCCCAAGAAGGGATACTGTGGGTGGCAGCTACAGTTTAAAGGGGATATGGCAGCCATAGGAGGTTTTTTTGTTTTTTTAATTAGTTTGGGCTTAAAATATGCTTAAAGGCTCCATGCACCCTAGTGGGTTTTTTTTTTTAAAAGCTAAAAAAACACTGGAAAAATTACTGCATAAAAAACACTAGTAATAGGTTTTTTTTTTTAGTAACGTGTAAGAGTTAGTGTTTTTACAGTACTGCGACAGAATGCGGCGACAACCCAAACGAGAGCAACTATAAATAAAACTATAAAAACAAATAATATACAAGTAGTGGTGTGTGTGTGTGTGTGTGGAAACCACAAGTATAGGGGGGGGGAGGGGGGGGGGGGGCAAACCCCGGGGAGAGAGGGGTGTGGGGGGGGGGGGGGGGGGGGGGGCTGGAGCATTTTAGTGGCGTTTAGGAACATTTAGCGGTTACCCCCCCCCCCCTTAGCTTCCAGGATGGCACACCTGAGATGAGAGGCTCCTCCCTACAGGAAACAATCAGTTGACAGCTGTTACAATTCCCCACCCTTTCCCTTGACCCTCAGTATTGATTGTATCTTCTCTTTACACAGCTAAACAATTGTTGTTTTTCACTGACCAGAACACCAGGGAAGGTCAGATGGTACCCGTGAGACAGGCCCAAACTATACTGCAGGCCAAGTGTCTCTCACAAGTTGCCCTAGATGTACAGCAGCAATCCGGACATGGGAGTGCATTTTGCTGCTGCAGCAGACTCTACAAGTCTCTCTCTCTCGTTTGGTCCCGTGACCGTACTGCATTCTTGCAGCCATTGAGAAATACTGTGTGAGCTGTGATTGGTCCAGCTTGTCACATGGTACAAAGCTGTTGTGAATAGCCCTGTACCATGTGACTTCTGTGATCGTTCCCAGATTTCACATGTAGTAAGCAATGTCAGAAGTGACATCTTGCTTATTACTCTGCATGTGATCACTGATTGGCCAATCAGTGATCACATGATCGGGACCTTGCACAGAGGTCCCGTACGATGATCCTGAGGACACAGTGGTAACCAGATTGCGGGTGCTGCATGCTTCCAGGGAGCGCACACAAGCAGGGGGGTGGGGAGGTAATTTATAAATGGCCACTCGCCCCTGCACTGCCACCGTCTGGCCGTTTATATACAACGGCCGGATGGAAGGTGTTAAACAAATATACCATACTCCGACAGCATTTGTCCCTGTTTACCAGTTGAACTTCGGAAATACACAACATTGAGGTTTGTGGTTTTTCTGTTTGTAGTATTTGGTGTTAGTTGGCTTATCTTGCAGCATGTCAGAAATGCACCACATGGGAGTTTGGTTCTTTCTGTCGATGTAAGTATTTTCTCATGTGGCACACCAGAAATGCACAACATTGGAGTCGCTGCTTGTGTCCTTTCGATATAAATCTATTGTTTTGTGCTGTGCATCAGAAACGTACATTCTGACCTATATTGTGATGCTAATTATCAGGGCCAGATCTGGCTTTTTTTTTTTATGGGGGTGCAGTAAAAAAAATATCGGGGGCAGAGGATAGGAGGGCAGCATGCTGAAACAGGAATCCATAGCGGAGTGTACTGGGGGTCAGCAGGGCCAAGGACAGGGTTTAGCAAACCAAAGGGCAGGGATCAGCAGTTGTAGGGCAGTGTACAGGGGGTCAGCAGGGTAGGTCCAGTGTACAGAGGATGGTTAGTCAGAAGGGGAGTGGATGGGGGTCAGCAGTGCACATCACAAATAATGTTTTTCGAAGGTGAACTTAGCCTCTAAACAGTATAAACAATATGTAAACATTGACAATATTAATAATACTCATAACAAGTAATCTGACTGGCTTTACAATTAAAAAGTCAAAGCAGGAGATGACAAAACGTGAGCAAGACTGGGATCATGAAAGACATGGGGCACCCTGGGAAAGAACAGAGAAATAAGTTCTGTTGCTGGCCTGTGGGAGGGTCTTAAGGGGAGATTGAACAGAATCTGTGCCTGCTGTATAAAATGCACACCTA